TCAAACTACCATCACCCCACTGTATGTCATATTCGACTACTTCCACAGTACTCACCTCACCTTTTTCACTCTACGTTTGTGTCTGTCTCTTTTACATCTTTGAAATACTCTTCTGTTCCCCCCTCCCCCTCTCGACATTTTTTCACTTTGATGTTTCTTCTTCTCTGTGAAGCCTGAAGTCAACTAAAGGGCTTATAATAACTATCAAAATGCCTGCCATTTGATATAAATGATATAAATAAATAACACCAATTATACAGCATCATTTTCTGCCATTTATTTTTTTTTGAGGATTACGGTTAGGCTAGCAATATCGCTACAGGGATTTCTCCACTACGGCAGTGAAAAGCGATGATTCCACTCTGTTTAAGCAAGTATGCAACGGCAAAAAATAAATAACAACATACGAAGAAAAGATTTGAAAAAAAACATTCAGATGGAGCCCTTCCATCGTCGCATCTGGCCGGATGGCAAGAACCATGGTGCCATTGGAGGGAGTAATCATGTGCTTGCGGCAAATTTTTTGATTCCTTCTAAGTGGACCTTGTTATCAGGTTCCATGTTTATTAAACGCCCTTTATAAAATATTTCCATAACTCTCAACTGAGCATCTTTTTTGAATGCCCATTATGAAGCTTCGGATCATCTCCTCTATTGCGAAATTAGCCTATTCACCATGACTACTTGCATAAAAGTGGCATATTGTATCACCTTAGCTACGGCCTCTACATGTACCAATTAATTGTCTTTCATAACATTCCCTAACAACATGAGGTATCCATTGTTTCACAGTAATACATAATAAATAGGTTTGACTGGGAGGTATACTTGCAGCGCTTACACGGAATCGTCTCTTATCGCAGTAAAGAAAATGAATGAGAGACACGGAGAGAGAAAGAGCGGAATATTAATATTTTTATTAATTTTTTTCGTTAATTTACACGAATTCGGCTTCTTTGTAACGTATATTATTTAATTTTAGATTACCAAAGAATAAGAAGTGTGGGGAAGTTGCAATATCCAATATCACGAAGGCAAAAAAGGTTATTTTTTTACAGACCAATGAAGGTAGAAGACAGTGAAAATGGACGATTCAAAGAAGAAGAAGAACACTGCTAAAAGAGAAATCAAAAAGAAAACAATGAAGAAGCCTTACCCTCCCAATGACCTTAAAACTTTATAATTGGCTTTTCCCCATCTGCACACTTCTTCCACTCTTTAAATAATTTCATTTAGGTTTTTGGTATTCTCTTTATTATTATTATTCGTTCATTTTTTATTTTCCACATTTTCCAAGTGAATGCCTACTCATTATCGCACTTCAAAGGCTGGTACACCCTTGGAAGTAGCCTAGGTGAATGCTAAGACCGCGTATTTTTAATTTCAGCCCAACCCGACACCGGCCCGACCTTAATCCCCGTACCCGTTACACCTCCCACCACCCCCACTATAAGAATCGTTCAAGATCCACCAGAGGAGAATCTCTTCGGTGAGTCATTAAAGCTAAAGTAACAAAGCGAAATAAGTACTGTATATGGTCTTACTTTAAACGCTGTCTCTCATAGATTGAGTAGCGTTGACTTTCAGAGCCAGATCCAACGGCTTCCTGAAACATGATCTAGTTGGCTCTCTTAACGCAAATTTCGTGATATATATATATGATGCATATTTATTACACATCGTCCCATCAATACTTCATATCAGAGTCAATTAGAGTTCTAAATGTAGCTTATTTCATTAAGGTTTTGACTTCACCAATTTTGTGTACTATACATTAAATAAGTGTCCCGGAGTTAAAATTTTAGTCTGAAATACCTGGACTCTCGTAAGTAGAGTGATCGGCTATGAGATACAGCGACTTGAGCAAAATTTATCGCCCCTACCCCCTCCTCGAAGTTAATTATACTTAGTTTGTCTATTTAAGCTTTCGTAACAAACAGATCATTTATTTATATATAAAGGCAGGCTAAAGGATAGTTATTATTACCCCTTTAGTTTAATTTTGGCTTCACACAGGAGAGAAACATCAAAGTGAGAAAAAGTGGGGGGAGATTCACAGATGCTAAAGAGACAGCCAGACACAAAGACAGAGAAAAAGGTAAGGTGAGCACTGTGTAAGTGGCTTAATGTGGCATCCAATTGGGTCATGGTAGTTTGAAGTCAAATGGCGGTTTACAGACTTTTTTGAAGTATTCCATACGTTGCCCAGGGTGCACCACGTGGAGGTAAGTCTATTGACGTTGCCCAGGGTGCACCACGTGGAGGTAAGTCTATCACGCGCCTCACAGATAGAATTTAGAAGTAAATGAATTTGTACTGGCATGTTCTGGCTGAGTGGCTTTCAGGAGTTTGTGCATGCTTTCCAACACATTGCATGTCATCTCTATCAAAGAGCTTTGTGCAGCTTGTTGACACTAGCTTTAGTATGACTTATTTTTAGACGTGAGCTATGACGCGACAGCCAACCATTACTGGGTCTTCTCCTCCAACTTCCCATGGCTAACAGACAAGGCCCCTGAGTCCAATTTTCTCACATCATCCCTTTTAAAACGTTTTGCCAATAGAGAATTCGACACTGTTTCTTCAGATATACGGAATGACCTCGCTAAAAAAAGTCTGTTTAAGGAGTTGGCTTCAGTGACACGTTACTTTGACTTGAGGAATGTGAAATCGGGTATGTTCCCTGGTGATAGCAAAAGCATCCTGCTGAATCGTTCCTCGAAGACGCAATGTGTTGAACTGGTGTCGAATGTGAATGAAGAACGACCGTATTTCCGACGGTGTCTTTCAAACCCCGAAGACTGTGAATACGGTCTTTCTGTCAGTCTCTGGGTTAACTTCTTATCTTCTGGAGCTGTTTCAACGGACCAGACCCTGATAAGTACTAGTAAGTCTCCTTTTTATATTTATTGTCTCCCCCCCCTCTGGAATAAAAGATAAATGTACCTTAAACCTTAAGCAAAATTTTATACATTCAACTTCATCAGTTCCGTTTTATTTAAGATTGAATGATATATCGCTTAACTCCTGGAAACGACACAATGTTCCCCTTGTGGTCATATTATATTACTCTTTGAGATTTAAAAGCAGTAAAGTAGTAGTAAATGTGATGCTTGCATCTCCCCTATTTTTCATACACCCATATGCAACTTCTCCCACGAGTTCACCCATGGCGTCTATTTGACGGTTAGTTGGGAGCATAGACGTCCATTTGGTTGCCGTGGAATTTTTAACAGAATATTGTGACTGAGTTGATGTATTTCAGGTGAACGGAGTCAGTAGCTCTAAACCTGTACCTCTTAGCCTACCAATCATTTTCTGGTTAACACTTTTATTTTGCGATGAGATTTTCACTTAGGGGTTACAAACGATTTGCTTCCCAAATAGCTTTCAACATTGAACACTCTTTGTTCCAATGTAAACAGCTTTTGTCGGCATTGTATTCAAAATCGTTGCTAGGGAATGACAGTCGCAACACTGAGCAATAAGAAATTAACATAAGCCCACCACTGGATATCTCATGTCTCCTCACCAACACTCAGGTCACCGGACATACTGCAAAAATCTTCTTTCCCAAGGGGGGGGGGTTGTAAAGGACTAACTGTCTCGCTTTTGTTAGAGACGACAGATGGGACTGACAAAAGCCATGGTATATTTCAACCCCATCATTTAGTCCTTTTACCCTTTTCCTTTCTGAGTAAAATAGTTAAAACATTTTAGAAACATTTTCAGTCTTACTAATTGGGGGAGGGGGTGTGGGGGGGT